AAAAATAATATTAAAGTAGCCAAGACATAGCCAAATATTGTAGCGCTACATCACTAGCGGACATTTGAAATTTGCCAACTAGGACGGTCGGTTAATCGGGGGTCGGATAATCGAGGCTCTACTGTACATCACATTACATAACAGTAAGCAAACTTATAAAAATATTAAATATGTGTAAGTAATATATACCATGTTTATAATAAGAAAATGTATATGGAAATATAAATTATCTATTAGTATTTGTTGGATAATTATTATTCAAAAATTTTATGCTTAAATATTTAATATTCTATAAATATCTTGTTCTAATTTATCTCATCTTCTAACTTCAAATTGTCATTGTATCATTATCAAGTTGTCTGTGAAATAATAAAAGAAATATTACTTTTCTTTATTATTTTATTATTTACTTTTGTAATTTATTTTCCATTTTTAAAAATTCATTTTTCAAAATTTTATGCTTATACTTTTTGGTGATAAGGATGCCTTCCCAAAATAGAATCCAAATATATAAACTAACAATAAAGCAGTAGTAATACATAAACAGTAGAATTGTGAAAACAGTATGTTTTATAATGTTTGTAATTTGTCTTGAAGCTTCTTATCAGAGAATAAATAAGAAGTTACATTGATGTAATTACATTATTTTAAATTATAGAAATAAACTAATTTTTTCTATGATATTAATAATGCAAGTTCTTTTTTTAGTATTATTACAATTAAGAATTATGATTTATAACAGGTATAATTTAGAATATTGTTGTGAATGTAAAATTTCTTTAAAATTGAGTGTAAATGTGAAAGTAAATACAGTAAAATATGTGTAAACCAGAGTTATTTTTTCTGTTTTTGCAGGTTTCCATTTTGAACAAGAATTTAGTATTTTATTCCTTGTTTTTTATCTTTATATTGCACCAGACAATTACGTTCACTTTTTATAGTAGAGTCACTTTTACATATATATAAAACAATTTTATTACTAGGCTTAATTCAAAGTGATAACTAAAGGTAGGCATATTTGAATGCAAGAATTGAGAACTATTTGATCTTAAAAAGTTTTTGTTGTTCCAGAGAACTTGTGTTAAGTATTCAAATACAGATATTTCTCGTATAACATAGTACTTTTACAACATGGTTTGAAAGTTGGGGATATTCCCATCACACAACATGACTTCTGGTTTTGTTCTAACATGGTTTGGGAAATCTTCAGTACAAATTTTCACAATTTTTAAGTGTAAACTCTGTTATTTGATTTTTTTTATTCAAGCAAGCATGCATGTTGTCTCAAACTTGCCTGTGGGATTTAGAATATGAAATTATGAAATTAATGAATTATGAAATGAATGAAAATAATGAAATTATGAAATTAAATATGGTAATTTACTTAAAAATAAAAGATAGAAATTAAAATAATTTTCTTATTAAAGCAATTAAAGTATTATTGACTTTACCTAGAAGAAAACTATTTAAATTATTACCAGTATTTTATCTGAAGTGGATGAAAAGCATTTTTTGATATAAGACCAGACAAAAAATTTTCCGTATCTCTGCAAGCAGTACCATTTCCAATAGCAAGAATTTCACAACTGTAAAATTATTTATAATTCATTATAATGCAGCTTCTAATTTTTAAAATAAATAATAAAAGTTAAAGCAATACTTATGATTCAAATTAAATACTATAAATTCTTTTTATAACTAATATACCCATGTTTTTCAATCAGTTGTTTAAGAATATTTCTTGCAACATTGGACTTATTTGCATCAAAAGGATAAATGACACTTGTTTCCAATACAGTTCCTGTAAAGAAAAATTGAAATAATGTACATTATTTATGTGTTTACAAACCATAAAGTAATTACAGTAGAGCATCGATTATCCAAATACCGATCAACTAAAACATTGGTTAACCAAAAGTGTTCCAATTGGCAAATTCAAATTTTCACTAGTGCTGTGGTGTTGCAGCACAGAGAGTGCTCCCTGCCAACCTGAACTATAGGCCTACTTTAATGTACTTTATGTAAGGTATGAATTTGTAAGATGTATGATTCAAAATATATACAGTACAGTTTTGTGTTTAATATATTTTTTTTGTAAATGATCAGTTATCTGAACAACTCCAGTTCCAAATTGTTTTGGATAATCAATGCTCTACTGTATTTAAAGAGATTCTTAAAGTTGTTATTGATAACTATTTGAATATTTCACAAAATCCTAATATTCTATTTGGATAAAAGAGAGGTTATGGCCAATGTTTTCATCATGAAAACGTGAACGTTGGATGTCGAGCGCTGCCATCTGGCAAGTCTAGAAGGTTGACAATGGTGTTTGCTACGTCTAGCACGATGAACAGAAGTTCAGCTTAAACTTCTTCATTTTTTTTTTTTGTGTTTGGGATGGGTTAAAATTATGATGTATTTTATTAAAATAATGATTAAGCATTTATGAATAATATTGTAAAGAAACAGACAATTTTAATCCTGAAATTATTTAAGTATTCAATTTTTTTGCAAGTGATGTAAAGTGCCTGTAGAATTTACATATATTTGTGTTCATAATAGTTTATCATAATTCTGTAGTAGTAGTAGTTTGTTCTTTCACAGCATCTTTCACCATCAACAGTGTAATATGTTCATAAATTTTCTAAAAATAATTTCCCTAGCTGCTTTCAAATTTACATAAGCCACTACTTCCCTCAATAAAAGTATGTCGTAAGAACAGGTAAAACACATTGTCCTACTATTATATTATCGTATGGTAGGTGACGTAACACTAATTATTAAAGCCAAAAATAATTATTTAGTGTTATTAAACATGCTATAAATATTTTAAAATAGTTTAATTTGTTTATTTACCTTCACTAGTAATGTTCATTGTTGTTAAACGTTTCTGCCATTTTTCAACAATATCCCATGAGTCAGTGCATGATGTGAATGTGTGGCAGGTGTTTTACTTTGAGTTCAAATGTCAAATGTGTATTTCTGCTTGTCGCACAAGTTTAATGTTTGAACTTCAGCTGCAAACTCTCTAATATATACAGAGGGGGGGTGCAAAAGTAGGTATACAGTTGTTATTATGGAAAAAAAAACATACAGGGAGAAAATAGGAAGAAAAAATATTTATTTTTATGTACAAATTAAATTACAAATAAGGAATACAAATTAATAAAAGATAATAAAAATAATAATAATGAACACCGAACATGTGTATTTCTCAGATTCTCAACTTTATACTTACTTTTGCATCAACCTGTATATTAAATTTCTAATTATATTTCTTTTCTAGCAGAATTATTGTAGCTGAATGTTTATACCTTTATAGACAATATATTACTGTTTAAATACACAAGTGGTCATAAAATAAATTGACTAACTAATGGAATCTCAGAAAGCAAAGAATCCATCAAAATGTTTGCAGGATAAGTACAGGGTGACACGCATTTGCGATATATGAAAATAGGGGTAGATCATGTGTCATGGTTACATTACATTTGAATTATGGCTACATTAACCATAACTTGAAAATTTCCAATACAAATACCAGGAATTCACGACGTGACAAGATTCTGTGACAGACAATAGTATAAGGTGTTAAAATGGTGTGTGAAGAATGAAAACAACAGAGATATTGGTGTTTGAAACATGTAACAATAATACAGTGAAAGCAACAGAAAACAAGCAGAAAATGAAACAAAAGACAACTGTAAAGGTGAGGAAAAAAAGTTTAATTACAGACAAAAGCTTACAAATGTTCAATATTTATTTACTAAATCACTGTATAATATTTTACATATATGCCCAACATTGTTATCAAGGACACACTGCATATGGCCAATGACAGAGACAATAGCAGCACAACACACATCAGCTAGGAAGCTCTGTTATTCCATCATGATGCTTCCTTTAAGCCACTAAGTGTTTAGGAATTATTTTGGTAGATCCTGGACTTCAGATAACCCCATAGCCAGAAGTCCATTGATGTTAAATCAGGGGAGCATGGAGGCCAAGCAAATGATAGATGATGCAATCATTGAAATGATCTTGAAGCAGTTGTTTCACACTCCTGACCAAATGTTGTGGGGCATCATTCTGCATCCAAATGACATTCTTCAAAGCATTATGTGGCCATAACTCTGGGATCACATGCATGAACAGCATTGATGGATAGCTTGTGGCTGTGACAGTGCATGGTAATTTGTAGGTGAGGGTTTTTCAAAACATCATGGACTGAAGAGGAAATCAGCTGTCACTCCAATCCATACAGTCACTTTTACGTTGCGCAATGATGTCAGCAACAAGTCACGAGGATTGGTGTCAGACCAATAAACACAGTTTTTCATGTTTAGCTGCTCAATCAAGGTAAAATGTTTCTCATTGGTCCAGAGAATTCATGGATTTGGTTGGTTGGATTTAGGGTTTTGTGGCACAAGGGTCATTTGCAACATGTCTGGCACTTGTCCTGTCATCCTAAGTAATGGCCTGCCAAACCTCTATGACAACTGCAACATCCATTGGCAGCCACTTTGTTTTTGGTCACATGTGCAACCTCTGTTTTTGAACTTGCTGATTAAATTGTGAATAGCTTGTCTTGAACATGGACTCCTACGTACATTATAGATCTAATGAAATTGGTGTAATGCTCTCACAACATTGCTATTGTTCATGTAATACAGCTTCACAAGTTCATGCTGCTTCTGCAAGTCCCATTCTTCTGCATAACAAATGCAAAAACAGGAGAATGAATGTTTTGTCTGAATTCTGATTGACATATGCTTTTATGTCTTGCAACTTTTGTTACAGTAAGCTTCAGCTACAATGTTGCTGCCTCACTTGCAAATCTGTATGCAGGAATGTCAAAAGATGTTGTGGACTTGGGAGAAAAATTTACACTGTCCTTCTTCAGTTAATTAATTAGAATATAAGAACAAACTGTAGGATGATATCAGTGCCCTTGTGAGATCTAGACTTGGGGAATTTTACCCTATCATGCCCCTTCTTGTCAACCCTGCCTGTATGGGTCTTCTGCCATGGGTATTGGCTTGCCTGTTTTCCATTTTTTCAAACACTGATATATCTGTTGTTTTTTGCTTTACACCCACCATTTCAATGCCTTATGCCATTCATGTTTCATACAGAATCTCATGACATCATGAATTTCCAGTGTTTGCATTGAAAATTTTTGAGTTATAGTTATGTTAACCATAGGAAATAGGAAAACATGTTCTCCTATTTTCATGAACTGCAAGTGCACATATCACCCAGCACTTATCCTGTAAAAATTTTGATGGATTCTTTGCTTTCTGCACTCCCAATATTGCTGTTAGTCAGTCAAATAACTTTATTACCACTCTGTATTTAGGACTATAATGTTTAAGTGGAAAAAATCTCTGTCTCCTACATGTTATATTTATATTTAATAGAAAAGTTTATAAATTACAATCTTATATTGTTAATTTTCCTTTCCTTTGCAGACTGTAGTGACAAAGAGTTATGTCTACTCTATTACTTATGTTACTTACAGGATACATTGTGCAATGTTATAATAATTTATTTTGGGAATTAACTCTCTAAAGAAACTTTGATTCATTTATAAGAGAAATATGAAAACATAATTTAATACTTGTTCAATGATAAATTTTGGCCTTTTCTTAATAAAGTCTGCTTAAAATGTTAATATTTTTTAAAACAACTTATTTTAATTACTAAAATGTTCACTGAAATATTTTATTATTAGTTTTAAAATTTTATTAAGATTTTAAAAAGTTATGAATTCAATTAGCATAAGCAATATCCCAGTAATAATTTTAAACAAAGCAAAATGTTATAACTTTTTAAAATTTATCCTACCTTTAGAAGATACAACAGCCAATTTGCATCCATGCCGAAAACCAGGATCAATACCCATCACTACTTTACCTTTTACTGGTTGAGTTAGTAAAAGGTGTTTTAAATTTGTACAAAACACTAGAATTGATTCCTTTTCTGCTTTCTTTGTAAGATCAGATCTGTATTTAAATTAAAATTTTTTAATTTTATTTACAAAGAATAACACAGTAATAAAAAGAAATTACCTTGTCTGTCTGCAGATGTATGCTTCTATTAAACGTTTATATGAATCATCTATACAATTGCTAATCATTTGAAATGTTTCATTATCTCTTTTAGTTTTAAATAAAAACTTTCTTTTGATCATTTTTATAATTTCATTTTTAGCATAAGAGTTAACAGAAACTTTGACACTCAATATTTTAAGATGCTCTCCTCTATTCAGAGCTAAGACCTATAGTAAATATATCAGACATTTATTTAGTCAGTTGTTAATTATTCTCAGTTAGTTCTCAAT